AAAACGAAAAGAAACATCTGTGGGGAAAAGCTGTCGAACTGAGGTCTTCACTCTTCATCACACACCGCACACCACAGGTTTGGCCATCTCACCGTAGGCTAAGGGGGTGACCTTTAGTGTAGTGAGAGATAAGTCAAACCTCGCTAGGTTGACGAAACATTATGCAAGGATATAACTCTGTAAGTATGATTCAGAAAAAATAATTTGTTAGATAATAGGATTGATTCATTCTCAAAGACAATTACATAAGAATATATAGAGAATATCTAAAGACTAATGGATAAATCCTAAAGGGCTTGGGCCTAAACCCTTATCATTACATCCCCCGTAGTTTGATCGGGTGGAGACAATTAAACTATAAAAATAAACAAAAGAAGAAAACATAAAAACTAGATGAAGATAGTGGCATCGGCGGTGGTAGAGCTCTTACAATGGCGGCTAACATTGACCGGTCGTCGGAGAAGAAGAGAAAAGAAGCGGCAGGTATAGGTGATTCCGTTGTAGAAAAAGAGAAAACTGGCGGAAACGACGATGATCATGCAACCAGCAGCAGATGAGTCTGGAGAATGGCAGCGAGAAAGAAAGAGGGCTCGAGTTGCGGCGGACGGAGACAATTTCGGCGAGATCAACAACATCAGAAGGGGCTGAATCGGAAAAGAGATCTGAAGAAGTTTCCAGCCGAGGAGGAAGCAGAAGGCTCAGGGGTCATCTGAGGAGGGGGTAGAAGTAGACGAGGCAGTGGAAGAAACCGATGAAAGATCTCTAGTTTGGTGCCGGTGGATGTTTTATTATTTAGGCGGAAAAGAGAAGAAAAAGAAAAATATGGAACATAATGAAGACACCCCCGACGACTATTAGAAGAGGTCGTAGGAGGTGGAAGGCGGTGACTGTGGGTTGTGCTCAGCATCTGTGTTTTAACCTAGAACTCTGATACCATGTTAGATAATAGGATTGATTGATTCTCAAAAGATAATTATATAAAAATATACAGAGAATACCTAAAGCCTAATGGCTAAACTGTAAAGGGTTTGAGCCTAAACCCTAATCACTGTAAATTAAATGATCCACCTTACGGGAAGAAATTAAAATTAAATGCAGCAAATCGGTCTCTACACTTTTAAGTGTAAAAGTGTAGACATAATTCATATGTTTGCACGTTTATAAGTACAAACTTATTTTTCTACCATTATATAATGTGAAGTTTTTTTATGACTTGTCATATTCTTTTTGCACTTTTAAATGTAAACATTTTACATGTTTCAGTTGTTTAAAAGGGCGAACAACTTCACAAAAATGAATTAGACATTTTACTTAGCCAGGAAGGAATGAAAATAATTAATCACACTATAATCTTAATTTGTTTTATAAATATGTACTCCTTCTATTGAATATCAATACCAAAAAATATTGTTTAAAGCAATAATTTAATTCATTCCGAATATAGTGATTTACTATGTTTGTAAACATTCAAACATGATTTTCAAATCATTATCGAATATGTTTATTAGCATGAATGTTTTTAAAAGTATATAACATTAGGGTCGGCCATGAGCATGTGTCGAGTGTGTGACCGTACAAGACCGACCCGTGTCATTTAGGGGGCCGGGATTTTTGTTTTTTGCGTACATCAGTATTTGCAACGGATCAGTGACAGATCAGTAACGGATCAGTGTAAGATTATCTTATATACTATCGTTCATTTGTTTTTATAATTTTTTTATAAAAATTATAAACTTATTGTAGTATTCATAATTTTTGCTTATATAAAAACGAATACTTATATAGAAGTCTATTTTTATTTTTCGTATAAGGCTTTCAAAAACTCGTCGTGTGTAAGACAAGGTAGCTAATATAATATAGAAAGGCTCAAATTGACTTTTTTATGTTCTCTCCGTCTCAAAATTATAGTCCATATTTCCTTTTTGTTTGTCACAAAATAATGGTCAAGTTCTAAAAATAAATAACATGTTTATCAAAATACACCCTCATTATTATTTAACCAATTAAGTATTTAATGGAATATTAAATGCAAAGTAAACACAAAACTGTCATTTATCTTATATATTATCGTTCATTTGTTCTTAATCTTTGTTTTTGTTTTTAGTATGTGGACAATAATTTTGGGACGGAGGGAGTATTATTTTTAGCAAGGTAAAAACTATGATAATTAAATGCTCACAACAAGAAATGGAACAATATGATGACAAAGTTTATAGACTTTTATTCATTTTGAATAAAGTGATTTATTAGAGTATATAAATTTTGATAAGAACTATTGACAACATTAATTGACACATTAAGAGTCAGGCAACTATCAAAACAAAAAAATCTTAGGTAAATTAATATCATAGGTTTTTTTTTTCTTTTTTTTCTCTGTCTACCGGATTCAATTCATTGACTCTGTTCGCTCTATTTTAGCATTAAAGAATTAACCAAATAGAATAAAATTAATATCAAAATACATGGAACTCTTATAAATTGCTATCTTCTCATCATCAACTTCATGTTCTCTCGCCATTCTTTCTGGTCTACGAAAGCTAAATACTAGTAAAATTTTCTGTAAACACAACCAATCATGCCTTCTGGTCCAAAGAAGAGGAGGGCATCAAAGAGGAAGAAGGGTGCCAACGGAAGATTTATAGATCCTGCAACAGGTGAAGGTGAGATGGTGTTTTCTTTAATTTGTAGAAAACTAGAAGCACTTAGAGGCATTAATGATATTCTATGGCTTCTTAGCTGGTTTCTCTTAATTTTTTTTACTTATGTGTACATGTTCAGCTATCCATGATGAACTTACTTAACTGACTCAACCTTTCTTTTGTTGTTTGTGTAGAAGAGAATCATGTTGAGGTGCATGAGAGCGTAAACAATGAAAGGGAAATGAGTTTTGGTGATGAGAAGGCTGGTCATGCTGTTGATGAAATGGGTTTAAAGGAATCTCAGTCTGTTGATATTCAAATGGGTCTTAAAGAGAATGTGAAAGAAAGTGAAGATGTTCAAGTTCTTAACAAATCTGAATATGTTGATAGAGCCCTTCAGCAAGCGCCTCTGAATGATACTATCTTAAAGAATCCAGAAGAAAATGGATGTGGTGAAGTTGTTGAAAGTGCATCTCAAGGGTCACCGGTGGTTATGAAGGAGGGTGAAGAGACTTCCATGCGAGGTGTTCGTGAAGAACGTTTAGAAGAGCCAATCGGACGTTCTTTAGATGAAGCACAAGAAATGGTGAAGACAGTTAACCAGTCGATTCTAGCTTCTGAAGAGGGTAAAGATTTGTCTGTTTGGTCTAAAACGAATGTTGAGAAATCCTTAAGAGATGATCAAGATTCTGTGGTTGATGTGCTTCCTGTTGAAGATGTTGTTGAAAGAAACAAATCTGCTGAAGTTGGTGAAAGTGAAGATTATGTTAATGAAGTTGTATCAGTTATGAAGGAGGGTGAAGAGATGTCTATAGAAGGTGTTCTCAAAGATTCTTTTAAAGAGCCAACTGAAAGTTCTTCACATGAATTAGCGATACCTACAAAAGAGATTCAAGATTCTTTAGATGAGTCAGTTATTGAAGTGGATGTAGAGACAATATCCTTTGAAGATGCTCCAGATTCTTTCGAGACACCACTTGGAAGCCCTTCAATGGCGGACTATATGTCTCCTATTGAAGGCGATGATCATTTGATCAATGGTTATTGGAACCAGCAAATTCAACATTCTTTACCTGCAAAGTCGATACCTTTGTGTAAAGTTCAAGATCCTTCTTTACCAGTTGAGTCAGTTAATGTAGTAAATGTGCAGATGTCCTTGGAAGATTCTCAACATTCCTTCAAAGAGTCAGCGGGAAGCTCTTCTCTTGTTGATGTGTCTTATGTTCAAGAAATTAAGGAATGTGCTGAAGTTGGTGAAAATGCATGTCATGATGACTCAGTTATGAAGGAGAATGGACATGTGTCTTCAGTGGATCACGATCTTCAAGAAATGGTTAATCATGTTGACTCAGTTATGATGGAGGATGAAGAGATGTCGATGAAAGATGTTCTTGAAGAACCTCAAGCGATGGTTAATCATGTTGACTCAGTTATTGAAATGAATGTAGACACCTCCCTAGATGAACATGATTCTTCTAACAAGCTACTAGTAAGTCCTCTCACTGAGTTGACTTTTGTTTCAGACAATGTTCATATAAATGGTTATGGGCTTGAGCGAATTGAATGTTTTCCACATGAGCCACAAGTAGTGTATAAGACAGCTGATCTGGTTGTTTTGAAGGAGATAGCAATACAAGTTCAAGACGATTTGATAGCATATGAGTCAGTTATATTAGCGCATATAGAGACATCCTTCAAAGATGCTCAAGATTCTTTGAAAAGGTCACTAGGAGACTCTTCTATAGATGATGTGTCTTCTATGTATCATGGTCAAACACAAATGGTTAATGATGTTGAGTCGACTATAAAAGAGGATGAAGGGATCCCAATAGAAGGCGCTCTTGAAGAAATTTTCAAAGAGCCAAATGTAGATACATCCTTCAAAGTTCCATTAGGATTAATCTCTTCTTTGGATGTTGTGTTTCCTGTTGAAGGAGTTGTTCAAGAAAACGAATGTACTGAAGTTGATGAAAGAGCATGTCATGATCCACCAGCAATGGTTAATCACGATGAGTCAGAAATAAAGGAGGAAGATGGGGTGTCCATGGAAGTTGTTCTTGAAGAGCCAACTGGGCGTTCTTTAAATGAACCAAAAGTTGTTCAAGATTCTTTCAATGACCCACTTGAAAGCTCTTCTCTTATTAAGTCAACTATGAAGGAGGATGAAGAGTTGTCCATTAAGACAGTTGATCACTCCATTCTTAATGTGATACCTTCAAGAGAGGCTCAAGATCCATCTGGACGAGATAATGAGTCAGTTATTGAACTGAATGTAGCCTCCACAGATGGTCAAGATTCTTATGAACCACAGTCAATGGTTAAAACAGTTGATCAGTCGGTTATTGAAGTGAATCTAGAGACATCATTCAGAGATTCTGATCAAGATCCTTTCAAAAAGCCAATGGGAAGCTCTTCACAGGTTAATGTGTCTCCTGTTGAAGGTAGTGGTCAAAGGAATGACATGGTTGGACTAGTAAGGACATTGTTGGAAGAGATACGTCGGATAAGAGCATTTTATGAAGAGGGCTTACGTCAAACTACCGAAATACATTTCCGTATTTGTCGAGTTTTGGAAAAGTTTGATTCAGGCGAGCTAATTTGAAAATGATACTCTAGTATTCTCAAGTTTTTGTTTTAACCTTTTCAATAGCTTTTATTCATATATTGCACGGATATTGATTAAACTAGCCATTGAGGATTTTATCATAAATAACCTTTTTTTTTTTTTTTTTTTTTTTTTTTTTTTTTTTTGTAAAATAACAATTTTCACTGGAAGATAGTATTCCTGAATAGATATTTCGGATTCCAGAGAAGCATTCGAGGTGACATTTAGCAATTTTTTATTGATGTGATGATTTAATTAAATGATGTGTATTGGGTTACTTTACTTAATAAATTAAAAATACCAAAGTACTTTATGATTGTTGGGGTTGGAAAACTCTTCTATTAAACACTAAAATAGAATTACAATAGGAGGAGCAACTCTCACACTCAATTATTACTAAAAACCAACTCACTCACTAACACTCTCACTCTAAGTGTTATACTATCTGTTTCTCTGTGTTTGGGATGCATCTTAACTGAAAATGAAGCCTCTATTTATACCCATGGCAGCCACCATTTGTGCAACCTTCATTAATTGTGTTCATCATAGGGTTGGAAGACTTTGCCACCCTAGGTTTCATTTTGTCAACAAAGATGGCTACTGTAGCTTTAGAGGCTGGAACACAACAAATCTCCCCCTCCAGTCTCCGTCCAGCAATCGTCATTCCAACTATGTCAGCACATAGTTTGTGTTTCTCTTGTGTCACCACCTTTGTGAACATGTCTGCAGGATTGTTGTTGGTGTTGATCTTTAACAACTTTAATTTTCGTCCCTCAATTGCTTCTCTAAGCCAGTGATAACGTATATCAATATGTTTTGTGCGGGAATGGTACATCGAGTTCTTACTCAGGTCCATAGCACTCTAACTATCGCAATGAATGATGTACTCTTCTTGTGGAAAGCCTAATTCTTAAAGAAACCGTTTCATCCATATAAACTCCTTCCCAGCTTCAACGGCAGCAATATACTCGGCTTCTGTTGTTGACAGTGCGACACACTTTTGTAACTTAGATTGCAACGAGATAGCTCACCCTGCCAAAGTGAAAATGTAACTTGATGTAGATTTCATGTTATCAAGATCTCCTGCCATATCGGCATCTGTATAACCTTCCACGATTGGCTTTGCTCCCACGTAGCATAAACATAGTTTCGAACTACCCTTCAGGTATCGAAGTATCCATTTTACTGCTTCCCAATGTTGTTTTCCCGGATTAGCTAGATATCTACTCACAACGCCGACAACATGAGCAATATCTGGTCTTGTACACACCATTACAAACATAAGACTTCCTACAGCTGAGGAATAGGGGACTGCCTTCATCTCTTCTTTTTCTTTCTCGGAAGAGGGACAATTTTTCTTACTCAACTTTAAGTGATTAGCCAAGGGCGTACCAACGGGCTTGGCATTTTCCATGTTGAACCTTTTGATCACACGTTCAACATACTCTTCCTGTGATAAGAACAATTTTCTTGATTTTCTATCATGGATAATTTTCATGCCCAATATCTGTTGTGATGGGCCTAAGTCTTTCATATCAAAAAACTTAGACAGATCCTTCTTCAAGTTTTCGATCATTGTTGCATCTTAACCCACTATCAACATATCATCCACATAGAGCAAAAGGATGGAAAATTTCCTATCTGGAAACTTCTTCAGATACACACAGTGGTCTGCAACGGTTCTCTTGTACTCATGATTCATCATAAATGAATCAAACTTCTTGTACCACTGCCTTGGGGCTTGTTTAAGACCATAAAGGCTCTTCTTTAGTTTGCAGACGAGATGCTTTTCTTTGGGAATTTAAATCCATCGGGCTGCTCCATGTATATTTCTTCATCAAAATCACCATGGAGAAAGGCTGTTTTCACATCCATCTGCTCAAGTTCAAAATGTAGACTGGCAACTAATCCGAGTACAACTTGAACAGACATCATCTTCACAACAGGCCAAAAGATTTCATCACTATCGATTCCTTCTTTTTGTTGGAAACCTTTGACAACGAGTCTCGCCTTATACTTTATAGTATTTCCTTTGCCGTATTTCTTTAACTTGAAAACCCACTTGTTTTTCAGGGCTTTCTTTCCTTTGGGGAGTTTCACCAACTCAAATGTTTGATTCTTCTGCAAAGAATTCATTTCTTCTTCCATGGCCTTCTGCCAATTTGTTTTGTCAATATGAGATTGAGCTTCTTGAAAGCTCTCTGGCTTCCCCTCGCTGGTAAGAAGAATGTAGTTTGAAGTCGGATATCTTCTTGATGGAGCACGGACTCGTTCAGATCGCCGGAATTGAGTTTTTTCATTTGCAACTTTTGGCAGTGGATCTAAATTATCCAGGGGTGGAAGCTCCCCCTGCTCAACGCCTTCTTGATCTGCATCATCGACTTCTTCATCCTCTTCTTCAGCGAAAACATCTTCTATATTTTCAGATGTTATTTCTGAAAATTTGGAGCCTGGTTGGTCGCTAATTGATGCCTTGAAATCGTAATATTGGTTTTTATAGAAAACCACATCTCTGCTTTGAATAACCTTCTTTAGTTCTGGGACCCATAGCCACTACCCGAACTCTTCATCTCCATATCCAATAAAGATGCATGGAGTGGATTTGAGGTCCAACTTTTTCTGCAATTCACTTGATACATGTGCAAACGCCTTGCACCCAAATACTCTCAAGTGAGAATATGATATGTCTTTACCCGTCCATATCTTCTCCGGAACTTCAAAATTCAGTGGAACGGAAGGTGACCTATTTATTAGATAGCAAGCTGTCAATACAGCTTCACCCCAAAATGGCTTTGGGAGTTTATTCATGCTGAGCGTGCATCAAACTTTCTCAACAATAGTGTGATTCATCAGTTCTGCTACACCATTGTGTTGTGGGGTTCGTGGGACAGTCTTTTCATGGCTGATACTGTCACACCCCCAAACCGGAACGGCAGAAACGTTCGGGGGTGGATGACGTCATGTGTAGTATGACAACAATTGTATCATAGCAATCATAGTAAACACAACCATTACATTGAATACATATATGAAAAGGGTTTACATCTGTTTAATTCTTCTTTTTATACATCAAGAGTATAATCAAAATAGAAAGACATGACTCTATACGCTCCGTCTTCTCAAAACTCCAGGAGGTACCTGTCTACTGATTTTCTGATAATATAAGAAGTTTTAAAAGAGTATCAGCATAAAGCTGGTGAGTTCAGAAGCGATGTTTTTGTAATGAAAACCTGTTGATGACTCTGTAAAAATGTTCACATGGTTCCAAGAAAATCCAATATTTTCTTTAGTAAGAGTGAGATAATATCAGTTCCATCTATAATCACTTAGTTCATGCTATCCACATATAAACCAATATTGAACAAACAGTTGACTATGTGAATCTGCCCTAAGTCCACAACCAAACAGGGAACATGAAATGAGGCGGAAATCACACATTCCACAGTCTATCAAATATGCTCCATACGTAACCCTGATGCCTAAACTAAGGAATTATAGGATTAACTATGAATGTTTGTTATTGTGTTCTGTTGTAGTATAGAAAAAAAACGTTAGTTTGTATGTCTAGTTACTATCAACCGTAGTGTGTGTGTATTCTTGTACAAAAACCTTTGTATTGTACGTTCTGTATGAAAACCCTGGATAATATCAGTATGTAAAAGTAGTTTCATTACTTAAAATAAAACCAATGAAGAATGAAATCCTGTAAACAAATGATTAGTTTATACTATTGTGAGTCGTATAACCATGCTTGATATGACCTAGTGACCTTTACGACGTTCTTCAAGTGTCAGTTAAATGACATTTGTCACCCTAGGCATGCCTGCCTAACTGTAGCTAGCAGTTCAGGTGTTGGATTGTTAGTCCCGAATAGATCTATTCACAAATCTCACGCTCTCCCTCCCGGAGACTCTAGTTATACTATGATAGTATTTAATTCAGTACACCTAAGGGTACAGTTTTGAAGTAGAGTCTCACAATTCTGTATAATCTAGTTTACGTGTAATTCTGTAGTGTTCTCTTGTATTTGATCCCGTTGTATAAGGTATATGGTAATAATTATATTTGAATAGTTATTAAATGATGTACTCTAGTAGTGATGTATATCATAAACTAAATCTTTCATAGTTTATATGTTTACCCATGTATGTAATCTGAATCGGTAAGAGCTATGTATTGAATTCCCCAGACTAAACCCATTTTAGTTTGCTTGAAATGTTATGTACTTGGTTTGTAAATTTTTCTGAAAATTATGCAATGGTGTTTCCAAAGTAAAAGTGTCCCTTATGCTCAACATAGTACAAAAGGGATAAAATATCTAAATATTTTATAAAACGTGGAAATCGTTTAACTGTATCAATTGCATAACTTTTAAACTTGTTAAAATCATTTATGTTTGGCTTGTATTCCCCCCCCCCCCTGAAAACATTAAAAATCATAAAAGCGTAGGGGTATGAACTCACTGTTAGTTGTGTACAAACTTCGAATCAACAGACTGAAATGGAGACCCTCGAGTTGTAGCGTGTGGCACTTAACGGAATCCTAATAACAATTAAATACATTTATGTATTTAAATTAGTGATTTCTCTAGATAAATTGTAGAAAAACACTTAAGTTCGGTCAAGGAATGTTACCGGGACTTGATCGAATCGAGTAAACTGGGTTTTCAGTCTAAATCACTGCTTAGGAAGTGTGTAGGGTTGTGAATGGGGTTTACGGCCGTGAACAAGGTGTACGGCCGTGAACAAGGTGTACGGCCGTAAACTGGTGTGCGGCCTTTGAAGGTGTACGGCCGTAAACTGGTGTGCGGTCAATGAACTTGAAGGTATACGGCCGTACACTCAAGAACAAGAGTGCTGGAATCGATGAAAAACGTGTTCTAGATGCTCTGAACTGAACTCCCAATGGTATTTTTTGATGTTTTCCGGAAGATTAAGGGTGTTTTTAGGGGTTTACGGTCGATAGTCTAGAGAGAGAAGGAGAGAGTGTCCGGCCAG